TCTGAAAGATGCCCAATAATAGGTAAAAATGAAGAGGTGGATAGAATGATGGATGAATAAATTGTGTCTGAATTATAATGAGCAAATATCTGACCTATTGTGTACAACCTGCCTGTTGATGAGCTGTTGAGAAACTTTATGACAGGCATGGGAAACTCCAGTCCTCTGAGGCCGGTGTCCTGACAACTTAAGATATGTCCCTGACAGACCTGAATCAAATAATTGGATAATTACCAGGACTCTGGTGTAGCTGCATGCTGGAGATACAATTACGGTGTTTTATTCGGATGTGCTAGACCAAGGACACATCTTAAAGCTGCAGGACAGCTGTCCTTGAGGACTGGAGCTGCCCATCCATCCCAGCAATTAAACAGTTTTGTGCTATTGATGTTTACTTAAACCTGCAGAGCAAATAACACAGTTTGCAAACTAGTTTCATTTAAAGAAGATCTACTTTTCAAATATCTCCATTGTAGTGTTGATATCACTATTTTTTTAAACTTATTATAGATCAAATGTCAGTGCTACACGTTATTAGTAATTTTGGATTCATTAACACTGTACTCTTCAAAAATGGGTATTAAAACTATATAAATACTAATACTGATGGGCTAATACCTTACAGCTTTTTCATTTTTTTTTGTCATATCACTGTGGGTTTTTAAAACAGATTTTACTAAAGTTTTATCGATTCATAGGTTTCAGCAGTCAATCCTGATAACCACAAATAATCTTTGGACCAGATCAATGTAAATAGACAATACAGGTGTTTAATAATTCCAAATGTAAATGTAATGTCTTCATTTTAACCTTAACATTTCAACCTTAACCTTAACAAAAAGCGAAAGTTATTTCACCTGATGACAGACACACTTGGAAAAATATAAATCTGTATAACTCGTTTTTTTCTCAAAATAAGTGCATTTGTTCTTGGTTTGAGGAGGTAAAAGAGACATTTTCCCAATCGAACAAGACGATTTACACTTAAAATAAGAAAAAACAATTGCATTGTCTTATTTCAAGTGCATGTTATCTAATTATCTTGTTTTAAGAGTAAAAATACTCATTCCACTGGCAAACTGTCTCATTTACCTACTCATATTAAGGATAAATACACTTAATTTAAGAAAATTTTACTTATTTCTAGGTTTTTTTTCAAGCGCAGTACTTGGCATAGATGTACAGCATATGATGACATATTACATATTCATAAAAATTTATATTCTATCTACATCTTATTGTAATATATTGTCTTTTTATTTACGACAGTTATATTCTTACATGCACTTCTTTCTTGTTTTACCCACTTAACTTTCTCCCATCAGTGAGGTATTTTCAAAACATTAGAAAGGTGATTCTAACTAAAGGTGGAATCCTATCAGGAAGTGATTTTTCAAATCAGTACATTAGTAATTAACTAACTAATCATTAACTAACTATCTGGGATATATACGGATTTTGGTGATCATATAATTACTTTGGTGTGCTCAGGAAAAGAGGAATTTGCAGGTGACAATTATTTATCCAAAAACAGGTAATTTACACAGAGTTAACATTTTCCACCTGCAGGTCAACAGGAAAAGGAAATGGAAAAAGATGACACAGTCATTAGTGTTTGGGAAAATTGTTTTTTTCAGTGAAACCAGGGACTTTTTAACCACTGGGGTTAATTCAGAGACACTTTGAAGTTCCTCCACAGCATATACAATGGTAATGCATACTATTTGTTGTGCAAAAAAAAAAAAATATTTAAAGCGTATAGCTCTAAGACCATTTTAGTTTATTTTATTTTAATGCACTTTTTTCACATGCATAAAGAAAATAGTCAAAGCTTTTTTGTGCTGCCAGTTCTCCAGGCAATCATTTAAAACAAATGACCTGTAGCCACTTTTTTTAAGTAATATGACTGCTGGCACCTTATAGAGTTTTAAATTGCTTTGTGTTTACTCTCCTGTTTTTCCTCAAGTTAACTTAGTTTGGTATTAACATCATAGGCCGGGCACTGGCATAATCTTTCAGTACAGGGTCATATCAAGTTATGGGAGATAATTTTTGGGGGGAAAGCCACACAGATTATACTTTTTTTTTTTCTTTTTTCATTTTGTTTTTTTCTCTGCATTTTCTCCTATACCAGCCTGGAGCTCAGCCTGTTCACAGAGAATAGTGAGACTTGGCTTTCACTCAAACCAGTCAGATAACTGTAAGCCAAGAATTTCACAGTTGTCAAATAAGGTTCCCTCCTCTCTGGTTTTCAGCTGTCACTTCACTTCATGTCACGTTGCTCCAGTCATATGTCTTGCATCACTTCTTATCACTCTTTTTAAAAATTCCTCCTCAGTCAATCACCAGCGTAAGTCCAACTGTCTGTTCTCTGCATTCATGTTCATGCCGCAATACCACCCTGAATATGATAACGTCTCACATACATTTTGATATATGAGGGGCATCTGCCACTGGCCTGCACATTGCAGCCTTTTCTCCTTTCTGTAGATACTGAATTATTAACAGTGCAGATTTTTTTTTTCACATTTTGTTTTTTTATTTTTAGAGCAAGAATTGTAGACTCACATTCTTTTGCTTAAGTACAACTTTGTAGCGAATGTATGAGTGATTTCCATGTTTTCCATGACGGTGATGCGAAAGACAAGCTTATAGGGCATTTTTATTTAGTATTTGGATAGAAACAGCAACGCAGGTAAAAGTGTGATGGATGCACAGAGAGAGTAAAGTAAAATTTGCAGAAGTTGAAAAGTCAGAGGTTTCTCACCAACTCCTTAGAATAATATCCAACATTATTTATTTTTTATGAAATGCAGGCAATAAAAAAAGAAGCACTTGTCAGTACTCCTGACAGTTCTCATTAAATCATATCTACAATTATTTGTTCGCTATTCAATTTGGGTTTTTTCTTCCTATTCCACTGTTCTTTTGATAAGTTTCTAATGAAGCAAAGCTTAATGTTCTGTAACATCGCATCCTATTGCTAGTGAAGCTTATTAGATATACAACCCAGGTTGTTTGTGTGTATTTGTGAGTAAAACAAACACTGGATCTTATAGCAAAGTTTGTAGAAGAGTCCAGTTTCATTGTGTATTTTATTCTTGTCTTATTTAAGGCATTCAAAATGGTCCCATTCTTTTTTAATAAATAGTTCTCAAACGGTTTTGCTTGTTGTTTTCAAAAACATGTTTATTGTAGAGTAATCCATACATGTTTTAGTATTTTAGATATTTTAGAATACCGGCTGTCCAGACTACTTGAAAACATGTTTAGGTTAAAGAGAAATTCTGCAGTATCCACCTGTCCTCAAGATACCTCTCTGAGGTTTGTTTGACAACCTCGTTCCAATCCTTTTATGTTTTATTCAATGTTCTTTAAGCCAGTTGCAACTAATGCTCACAAATACCTAACATTAGTGCCATAAAACATAAAAAAAAAAATTTTAGTGTCTCTAGTAGTTTTTAATTGTACATATAAATGCCTGTATGTGCTCTTCATCTCTGACAGCTTGTCGTTTTTTAAACTAATAATAACCAAAATATAGCAAAATAATTTAAATTATGCAAAGGACTCCTTCAATGCCTTTGATTGGTCCCCAGGGTTGTAGAGACCAGCAGGTCTTAGAAGTTGACCGATTACCTGGTCAACTCAACAACCGCTTCCTTCCTTCTTTAAAAATTAGAGCCTCGAACATATAAATAGAGTTTCAGTTTTAAGACCAGCATCTTAATTCCCAAGGCTCATATTAGTGTATTTACTCATTCAGATATAATGACACCACCTGACAAGCGCTGTAGAGAAAAGTCTTTATGTTTATTAGAAATACTGTAGCATGTTAATATTACAAGATCTTTTGCTAAGAGTTTCTCAACCCTGGTCTTCAGGACACACAGTCCTGCATCTTTTAAGTTTCCCCTCTGGTCCTACACTGTGAGCATTCTAAAGGAATAATGAACATCCTTCTGCAGACTTGCTTGCATACTGAAGAGGTAATGCAATCATTGGAATCATGTTTGCTGCAGCAGAGACACATCTAAAACATAAGGGACTGTTACACTTAGGGACCAGGACCACTGTATCACAGTATTAATGTCTTGTATATTACAACAGGAATTATTAAACATTGCTGGATTCAGAAATAATCTCCTTGCCATGGCAAAGTCCTGTCCAATCAGCCATTCACCCAAGGACACCCATCCCTGCCAAAAGTATATTGACATGCATTACTAAATCCTCAGCCATGTTTGCCAAAGTAGCTTAAAATTCACTGTCCTTCTGAGGTCAAACAAGATCAAACTCTAGTATTACACAAAGGAGTGTTCTGGCTGGTATGTGGACAAGTTATTATAAATAAAGGGAAAAAACACACCCAAACAAAAATTGGACAAATAAAAAAAGTGAGTAGCTCCTTTTTATTATTGATATAATTTGTTTAATCAACTAAATTTTGAAACATAATTTGTTCCTAATTTGGTTTAGTCTTAGTCTTTCCTTTTCCAGTAATAACCTAGCTCAAAGACCAGTCACATTATGTATCTAACCATCCTCTCTGTGTGGTATATACAGTGGATTTATACATTACTGTCTATATAAATGTATTTCTGAAATGTTTCCTTCTGGTTAACATATATTTTTGTAAAAGGTTTGCCCTTGTCCTTTAGTAAAAAAGCTGTAAAACAACATAATATTTTCCCTTAAGTGGAAGATTTCCAAAGATTGACTGCCTGTCAAAGTAGCTTATAAAGTGACAGCAGCTCAACTACATCCTTGTAAAAAAAAAAAAAAAAAAAAAAGTCGCAATTTGATTTTTGCCGTTTATGTAGTGCCCAAGCATGAACTAAGAGATGCTCTGGTTTACAGTCCATAGCCCTCTTCGGTTCTTTATTCTTAACACTACGGACAGTTTAGTGAAGGAATCCGACTGCTTTCATGAGCCGTCTCTTACTGTTTAGGAGTATGCTTTAAATCTAAGACACTCAATCTTTCTTCTGCTCTTTCAGGATCTGACATGGTGGAGGCCCAGTGTCAGAGGTTTGAAGTTAAGAGTGCTGATGGTGAGAGAGTTCTGTTTTCTGCAGATGAGGAGGAGGTCAGCATTGGTACTGAGAAACTTAAAGTCACAGGTAATGTAATCAATGATCTGTTTAATGTGTGACAAACTCTTACTGTAACAGTGGCTTTTTATTTAGAGACAACTGCCCTGCAAGTTTTAGATGCAACCACAGCTGGATAGAGTACCCCAAAATGTCACCTATGTAAGAGTAGCACTAATTTAACATTTGTTTAATCAACTAAAGGCTATTAAGAGTTAAAAAAAAAAAAAAGTACTTGGTAAAATGGCAACAGAAGTATTAAGTTACTGTCAGCTCATAACATCTGATCCAATGTTTCAAATGATGTAGGACTAATCAAAACAGATAATGTACATATTCTGGTATTTGGATACATAAAATATATCAGTAGTAATAACATTAATACAAAAATAACACATTTGTGTAGAATAAAAACTTACCCACATCATATTTTTCATCATAAATGTCTAAATTTAATCTTTACAGCATTTAAAGGTTAAATAACTTCCGGCAACAATATCTTTCATTTACTGGATATAACCCTGTTGTAGCACTCTCAAATAAAATTAATGCATCACATCCTCGACATAAAGTGCTGCTGAAACCTTTTAATAAACCATTTATCTAAGTAAGGTGTGTTGCAGGAATTACTTTTAACACCTAAAACATGCAGGATAGTCATAGCTGAGGATCAGGGTTTGGAGCTTCAGATGTAGAACTTATGAGATTTTTTCTCATCTAATTTTACATGAATATTAAGTATTTATAAAAACAAACGTTTTCCTCATTGCAAGTAAAAGGACTTTTTCTCATGTATCAAATCAAATCAAATCAAATTTATTTGTATAGCACTTTACAATAGCCAAATGGTACCCAAAGTGCTTTACAACAAAGCCGTAAAAACAATACATAACACATATAAAAACATACAAGATACAATTAAAAGTGCTGTAGTGGTGATTGCTGCAGGACATTAAAAGCCTTCCAGAGGCTCATAGAAAGGAGCACACAGAAAGATGACATCTAAGAGACAGTATTATAGTCAGAATTAAAAGCTAAATTAAAAAAGTGGGTTTTAAGCTTTTTTAAAAAAAGGCTGAGGTCAGTATTGGTGCGGATGTCAGGGGGTAGTTTGTTCCACAGTCTGGGAGCAGCGATCAGTTAATGATCAGAGTTTACATCAACATCTACTTAACATGTAGACAAATACAAAAGGAAGCAGTTTATAGAATAAATTGTGCAAATGCATGTTGAAACATGCAAATAACATTAAATGTTAAATACCAACATAAAGTTTAAAAGAGAGAATTAATTAAAGAGAATTAATTGCAATGTAAACAGTAAAACTTAAGAGGTGCTTTAATTTAGTAATTAAGTATGGCTAATGAAAACTATACAACATAAAAGAACTTGAAAACATTTGATTTCTAAAAACAAAAATGTGTATTAGTTTTAGAGGTGGGAAGAGTACCCAAAATGTACTTAAGTAGAAGTAAAACTTCATTGTATTTTTACTCCAGTAAAATTAAAAAGTTGCCTCTAAAGAAATTACTCCATTAAAAGTAAAAAAGTATTTGGTAAAAAGGCTACTCTAGTACTTGGCAACTGTTCTACTGACAATCCATGATTGGGACAACAGATTTAATATTTATTGAGTTATAAAACTTCCAAAATCAATAGTTGTATTGTGTAAGAATAGGTTAAATTACAATATACTGTATAATGTATTATCACTCAACCTCATTTAACCAATAAGACTTGGGAAAGTGTTTCTTTCAATGGTGCATATTTGTTTAAAAAAGCTTTTTTCATTAAAATAAGTTACTCACAATGAATGGAGTAGACAGAAATTTTACTCAAGTAAGAGCAGTGATACTTAACCACAATTTTATTCATGTAAAACTTAAAAGTATACTACTGTATAACTACTCCTAAAAGTACACTTTTTTTCTCAAAAAGTTGCTCAGGTAAATATAACTGAGTAAATGTAAATAGTTACTACCGACCTCCGATCAGTTTTATTGTAAAATGAAGGATGAATTATTCTCCTTAGAGCAGGGACTAAACGGAAAATGAAACCCATATTAATCGTAACAAGGCTGAATCAGTCGACTAATCTGTCGTTGATAAAAAATAAACTTTCTAAACAGACACAAGATAAGAGATACAGTTATTTATTGTCTAAAATTCATAAAAATATTAGTTTCAAGTATTAATGAAATGGTATCTTTAAATTAGTAATTTTAGTTTTGAACTTTGAAGAAGCTCAAGTAAACTAATGTTTTTATGGACATAAGTAATCAGGATAAAATTGTCCATTCTGACTGATAATGTGTCTCTTAAACATCCTATTGGGAATATATTGACATGGCATCTATAGCTTTTCAAGGCTGACTAGATCACACTGACGTAGGGTGCACATACGCACTCAGGTCAACTTGCCTCTTTTATTTATACCTTAATCCTACTAATCATTTACATGAATATTGATCAGATTGTCAATCAGCATAAACCGCACCTCTCAGGCAGATCCATTCCTCCATTTTCTCCTGCATCTGTCAGGGTCACTGTGGGGCAGGTGCCTATCTCCGGCAGTCTATGGGCGAGAGGAAGGGTACACCCTGGACAGATCGCCGGTCTGTCACAGGGCAACACAAGGACGGACAACCATGCACACACACTCACACCTAAGGACATTTAGAGAAGCCAATTAATCTAACATTCATGTTTTTGGACTGTGGGAGGAAGCCAGAGTAACCAGAGAGATCCCACGCATGCACAGGGAGAACATGCAAACTCCATGCAGAAAGACCACAGGTCAGAAATAGAAACCAGAAGCTTCTTACTGCA